TTTGCATGTTTTTAAATAAAAATCTCTTTGTTCTGCAGCATTTTACCCCTTGATTGTTTTTCAAAAGAATTCATTTTAAGAGTCACATATATTCAACAAATATTTAGCAAAAGCCTATAAAATTCAAAGCATCTTTCTATGATGTCTCAGAAGACATAAATACATATAAGATGCAGATAGTCTTGAACTCAAAGAGAATTCACCAGCAAACAACAAATGTAAACCAAATATTTAAAACTAGAATTCTAAACAGCCCAAGGAAGTGCTGATTGACTGTTAGAAATAAAATACCGGAGAATTTCAGAGTTTCAATTTAACTTTGGAATTCTTAAGTGACCTTGTAAACCCTTGACTGTAGCCAAATTCAAAGCACTTGAGGTTAGGAGAACTCCTTGTTTTAAAGGTCTTTAGTTCAGAATGGAACTTTCTTCTCATTACCTGTCCACCAGGAACCTCTTAAACTCAATCCACTGGTGAAATGAGCTAGCAGTACACTACTTACTTTTGAGTCACTTTGGTACATTTATACTCAGTGCTACCACTGTCCTTTGCCATAGCATCAAATGCGTGTGTTTGTTATGAAGAGAGAACCTATTTTAATAAGTTTGCATTGTGAATTGAGTGATACGAAGAATATTTCAGCTGCAAGAGAGTTTTAAAAGTAGAAAAAGGTTTATAGATGAGACAAACGCACCTCAGACCCTTTTCAGGTTTTGAATGATGAACTCCACAGTGTGATGGGCTGAGTCTGACTGCACTGCTGACCCTAATTTAGAAATCTATAATTTCACACTTGGTCTAGGAAGTGCATCTGCAGTTCGGATTTCACTTGCAAATGAAAGTCATCCATCAGCGGCCCTGGAATAACGTTAAATGTTCCTAAAACTTGTTTGCACTAAACTAACTGGGCCTGTGTTCATCTCCCTTGTGGCAGCAAACTGCATGTGATTATTTTTCTTCATGGAATTTACCTCCATCTTGTGGCAGTGTCATAATTTGATATTTCATAGCATACTCATTAATTTAACAACATTCAGACCTCCTTGTGGATTCTTTAATTTAGCATCTTTCATTGGATACACTTTAAGCTTTACAGAGAAAAGGAATTACCGAGGATCATTCTCATTTTCATTGAAATATCTAATGTTTAATCAGTAACTATATCCTCTTTTATCTCAATCTCCCACTTTTTTAATTAATTTATTTTTTCTTGTTTTTTAATTAAGGGAAACTAAATTTAAAAATAGTGGGATATATTACAGTAACTTTTTTGTTTTCCTATTAACCTGATTTGAACCCCAGTATTGCTCTCCCCATCTTGTTCTGATTTTACTATATTCTGTTTTGTTTGATAGTATCAAGTTTGAGGGTATAGGCAACCACTTTGAAGGCAATAAGATTTACTATGATGCCCATTATGGTTTGACTATTATCTTCTTTTGAAGTCCTGTAAGGTCTCCAGTGTAGGTTTTATTGGTCTTGTTCTGCACTGTTTTGTTCAATTTTATTATATCTGATGATATGGGCAACTCTTTTCAAGATAGCAAGAGGCATAATGGTAATCATTTTTGATCACCTGGTATTCTATTTTTGCATCATATACTATGTCCATCCTTCTGTTCTGACTCTGTTTTGTTTTGTCACATTTCGTTTTATTCTCTTCAAAAAAAAAGTAATAAGAACTATGGGAGTAATAAAACCCAAAAAGTGTAATTGTTATTGTAAAAAATAGAGGAAAAGAAAGTGGCCTAAAGGATATAACTGCAAGTACATTTAAGTGTGTAGGATAGAAAACCATATTACTGAGTTTTTGTTGGATCATTGAACAGAACTGGCTGCAATCTCACTGTATGAATGTCTACTTTGTGTGCTTTAATTATGTAATTTGGACAACTGTTTCTAAGATGACAACATGTAATCTATTAACTAGTGATTTCTTACTGAATATTTTTTTCTTGAAATTCTGTATTACTTGTACCCTTTTATTGCTTTGGGTTTTTTTCTCTCTCTTTAAATTAAAAAAAGAATCAGTAAATACCCGAGGAGCGAGCAGTGCTCTAAATGGTAAACTGTTGGATATTCTTAAACTTGCACTCATCATAACTACAGTATCTCTGTATAACCCAGATGAAGTATGTTTAGTCTATGACTACCTGAATTAAACAGCATCATTTTAGTTCTAACTGATAAAACCTAACAATAACTCATTTAAACAAAACTCAAATACTGTCTATTCAGACTGGAAACATGGAAATGTAATTGACAAGAGGTACAGCTCAATCTCATCTCCAACATGTAACACAAGAATGAGTATTCGACAAAATTAATATTTCAGTGATGTTCAATAGTATATCCAGGTTTCTATAATAGTATGGCCATATAGTAGCTTCTCAATAAATAATTTTAATTTATTGAGTTTATTTTTAATTTATTGGTTTAATAAATAAATAAGTATTCTCTGCCTGACTGATAAGCTTTCCTATCTGATGGTTCCAGGGGCCAGGTCCCACTTTTCTGGACCTATAAAACATTAACTTTACAGACATGCTTGAAATAAAGAGTTAGAAATGGGAAATTATTTCAGACTATCCAAGGGGTCAAACCTAATCATTTATGTTTTAAACCATGGAACCTTTCACAATTATAGTTAGAGAGAAACAGGCCAAGGAGAAAGAAGATAGAGCTATGACATGAAGACAAGGTCTGCTCTTGCTGGCTCTAAACACTGAGGAAATGGAGTTTGAGGCAAGCATGTGGAGCATTCCAGAAGCTGGAATGCATCTCCAGAAAAACTCTCAGCCCGGCTGACTCCTAGAATTAAGCTCGCTGAGACCCACGCAGGACACGTGGTCCACAGAAGGAGAAGACACACGTGACTGGGAGAGCAGCACAGAAGGAGCGCAAAGGAAGTGCACACTGTACTGGGCCACGAAAACGGAGGACGAGGTGCATCTTAGTGACTTTTCTCATGTCTGAGACAAGCTACCTGACACCCAGAGTTACGGGGAACAGTTTATTTAGCTCACAAGTTGCAGAGGTTTCAGGTCTTAGCTACTGAGCTCTGAGACAGTGTCCTGGAAAGACACACTGCAGAAGGAAAGCAGGGCAAGCCTGGCGGGGAAGGCAGAGGGCAGCACGTGGCCAGCGGCAGAGCAGGACCCTCTTCCTTCCCTGTGTGTCCCATTGGCTACCTGCCATTTGAGTGGCACCACCATCTCCCGGAGGAGGTCAGCCCTAATCCCAGCATCACACATGCTAATCCAGCCCCTAAGAAATCCCCCTTTTGTGACCATACTGGGCTTTTGGGGAACATCTAATATAGATGGCATCTTCAAAGTCCTTGGCATCTGAAAGAAAACTCAGGGCCTACACAACACCCAATTAAATTCAAAAAACACGTACTATACATACAACTCATGTGTAATCTCAAGAAGAAATAATGTTGACTCAAAATGTTAATGAAGCATGTAAAGTAAAAAAACTCATAATGGATTTTGAAGGTTATGTGGAAAGATGAGGGGACAAAAATACAGAGAGGCCTTTTAATTAGGGTTCATAGTAAGATCCGGGCTGTCGTGGTAAACGTGAGAGGGCAAGACAAATTTGCAGAGAATGGAGACTTATTTATGGCAAGGAAGAAGGAACAGAAAAAGATACCAAGGCATTAAAGTTTCAAAACATGGGGGAAATTATTGTAATGAGAATATATTATAAAATAAAAATACACCAAAGTTTATATCTTCACTATATTGTAAAATTAGGCTTCTGACTTTGTTCCTCGCAAAATTTTTATCAAAACAATTCTTTTCCAAAAATGTGAATTTTAATATATATTCCAGGTGACAATAATACATCCTATTCTGTGTGGATCCAGTAAGATGAAAACAGAAGATAAAGGAAGAAATATGTGTGTACACAAGCAAGATTAGGTAAACTAGAGCAGAAAGGTCTGAATGACTTAAAGAAGCTAACGTAATCAAAAATGAACATTGATAGTAAACCTAAAAAACATGAATCAGCCTTTTGCTTCCTCGGGTGACTCTTCAGGGAAAAAATTATAGCTGGCCTGTGAATTTTCTGCCTGCCCCCAATAAGATTATTAGCATTTTATCAACTACACCCCAAGAATCTCTCCTCTCCTGGACACTTCCACAAAACTCTTTTCTACATTTAGATTTTATACAGAACACAGCACACAGTGCATACAGCAATCGTACGTCGCCTCTGCCCTCAGCTTGCTGTATTCTGGCTCTGCTCCCAGCCTCTCAGAGACACTGTTCTTGGCACAGGTTCCAATGACCTCAGCGTTTCTTGTGAGTGCTTCTGTCCCCCTGCTCAATGAAAGGTCACAGTCACAGACTCAGACGTCCGCATATGACCTGCTTCCAGAGGCTTGCACTGGCTGCACTCTGCACCACATTTCTGCTTCCCTGCCCCTCAGAGTACATGTCTTCTCCTCAGCAATGATGTCACTTAGTTATCTGATTGGGTCTCTATGTACCCCAGCATAATTCATCCTCAAACACTGCAAATTTGCCTTGCTTCCCTCTGATGGCCCAGTGCACAGCCCTGTCCAAAGCCTGCAGATATGAAGCAGCATTTACTGAATCATTTTTTGCTAAACAGAGTCATTTTATCAACATTTTTGTGACAATACCCTTCAGTGCGTGTCTTCATGTCTGACCCCTGCTTTCCACCCTAGGGAAGGCACTTTCTTCACACTGTGATTCAGTCTTCAGTGTAGTCTTATTTGCTTCTATAATTCCAACATGATGTAGGTTTAAAACCTGTCTCTACCCCAGACCTTCCTCTGGAGTTCCAATTGAATATTTCAGGAGGGCTATTGATGGCATTCCATAAAGACCTCTATGACAGGATGGTGCCTCACCCTGCTTCAGTCCGTGTTTTCATTCCGTGCCATCCTTTAATTCAATCGTTCTCATTCAATCCTACTCATTCAATCCTTCTCGACTTTCAGCCATCCAATGTTTTCAATTCCATCGCCTCACTAGCTCCATCTGAATCATTTTTTTCTGCTCCTGCTGAAACAGCTATGCCTCAGTCCCTTCTTATTTCCTGCTTGGATTCATGCCACAGACTTCCAACTAGACTATTTGCTAGTCAACTCACTATTTTGGTTATTACAGTGACAACTAAAAATTCAAGATAAGAGAATACAGATGGTCTTGATGGTGTCTTCTTTACTTTCAGCTAAGGAAAAAATGGAACTGTACTTCTTACAAACCTTGCAAATTCCAAACTGGACCTAATAAGAATGACTTCTGTTCATATTTTATAGGAAGAATCACATGCTGTGGACATAGCTTGGAAGGCTGCTAAGAAATGTACCCTGCTGGACAGTATCTCTGGGAATCGTCACTAAGGTAGGAGAAAAACAGCTTTAGAAAACATCTCATAGCTACAGATGCTACCACATTTCATTAGATTTTTAGTCTTGGAAAAGGCAACATTATTTTCATGACCTGCCAAAGGGACAATGACATTCGATAGCTGCTTTTAAATGGCTCCATTATTATATCAATAAATATTTAAATGGTTCTGATGTTCGAAAATTCAAAATCAAGAATTTGCTTCTATTTCTGAAGACTTACTCAAATTATCATTAATAATGAAATAAAAGCATATAATATATAGATAGTAGACATTCTGCAAGCTAATACTGAATATACCACAATCATCAAAAATGAAGTTAAATCTAAGAAGAACTATAGGTAATAAATATCAAGTAGACATCAGTAAATATCGACACATTTTGAAAAATAAAAATCAATATTGTGAAATAGATTAGAGGAAAAAGTTCCCAAAATATTCACCATGGGAAGTGCTCTATGATTTCAAGAAGTAAATTCATAAGAGCCATCTTAATAACCAAATAAATTTGACTTTTATTTTGAACTTTAGCTGATTTTTAGGTAGATCATTCTTAATCATCTCTATTTGTTATTTGAAGATACAGTATTTCTAAAATAAAATTATCAAAAATAAAGCAAGAAATAAATATCAGCATATCACCTAGTGAAAAATATAATAAATACCATTCTAATTAATTTTAGAGGTATTCAGAAATAAATTATTCTCTGCTTTCAGCTTTTCATGAATAATTCAAATTTCACTGTCAAGCAACCTAATTAGTAATTATCCAAACTATTTCTAAATTATCTGGTTTGAAGCTACCTGTGTTGCAGCTAGATTTATTTCTGATAGAATTATTAACCCCATTTATATTGATTTTATCTTTCCCTCTGTTTCTGGTAATGGAACAGGCATCTCCCAAGTGCCGAAAAGCCCGCAGATTAAGTGTATTAAAGTATCATTGCCAATTAGCTCTGCTGCTGCTAAGAAGTGACAGCATGTACCACACAAGGAGACAGCTTTGAGGCTGCGGAAGTACCTGTCCTACTTTCCACTGATGCAACCATCAGCAGAGAGAAAGGAAAAGCCTGCACTCTGAAGAGGAAATGGCGGGATGTCCAGGCAGAAGGACAAGGATGAACTGCAAAGCGTCCACGGGACTGTGGAGCTGCCACTTGCTGGCATCTTTCCTCCATGTCACCATGAATACCACTGAACACATTCAACAGCAGCACAGCATAAAAGGCATAATTATGCTCGAGTTTAAGGCTGGATCATGGCAACAGGAATTCTGTTTTCTTTGTCTTTTGAAGTGCAATATGGCTCGTCCTGTACAACACTGAAATTAAAAATAACACCTCTTCTCCTTCCAACCCCTCTGTGAGCAAAAGTAACAAAATAAAAACCCATCAAAAACTAGACTGTGACATTTCTACCTAAAAAATACTGGAACCTAAAATCTCCTATCAAGTCTTGGGATGAAACAAATCATAAAATGAACGACTTTACAGTTATGATGAAAACCCTGCTTCCTTAATGACTCTAACTACATAATAAATTCTGAAGTAAAAATTCAAATTCTTCATACACGCGGTCTATTATTTCCTCCTATTCATTCCTAGCTAGGGGAATCCACTGAAACTGTACGACCTTTGTATCTTAGCTTTCTCCCCTGGACACTCTTAGGAATTATAATGTGCTCTTCTTTCAAAAATGTGAAAGGCATTTAGTTTTAACCTATAAGGAGCACTTCATAAAATTTTATTCTCTAGTTGCTATTTTCCTGCAATAATAACATTGTCTATTTTTGTCATTAGTAGCTTCCTCCATTTCTACACACATGCACACACAGATATACACTCAATTTCCTTTTTTTATTCTTTTTTTCTAGATTTCACTGACAACTGAGAAGAATAAAAGATGCGACTGGCTTGTGGTCATTTCTTAAACCTGCCTGCTCAACGATTTTACTCCGCCGTGTTTTTCTCCCTGTTTTGTTCTTTCTCTCGGGTGTATTTATAGAAACTCTTTTTATTTCCTCTGAGTCCCTGAGCTACATTATTTCATTTTGCTTTCTTGCCTCTCTTATGGTGTGCCTGCGTTTCTTGATGGCTAGCTTTATCTATTCCTTTCAATCTCCCCTTTTCCATTTCCTATAAAATTCTATTTTGTATTTCAGCACTTAGAGAAACCCACCCTCACCCACAGATATTTTTAATCTTCTCTGTATTTTTAACTTGCATTGGAATAGCTGTTAAGCTTCCCATGCTGAGTTCATCTTAAAATTCATTTCTCCCCCTTTTTAAACCTGCCCCTAGCAATCTGTTGCTGACTTCATTTCAAGTGATTATTTCCCTCACCTTCCTAATAACTCTTCAAGTTTACACACTGGATATTGTGTCAGGGATGTTAAGCAGGTATTTAACAACTGTAAGAGATGTAGTGATCTGTAATGACCTGAAAACAAAACAGGATGTTTTACACACAACTCTGTGTTGTCCAATAAAAATGTGAATGAGTGACACCTTGTCATTGCCTATAGAGTCCTCTTGAGCCACTGAGGCAAGCACATCTCTGAGCTGGGAACACAGAACGTCCAGATGACCTCACTGGGGACAGCTACTGCATGGTCAGTCGATGGATATAAGGGATGAGACAGTGATAGTTGACACCCTGCCCAGGCTAACCTCACCTCACTCTAAGGGACTCTTCTGTTCCCAATCCCTCCAAGTACTCACTCAACAACACTTGAAATTTAAGTTAACAGAACTCTGGCAGCAAAACATTTGCTCTGAACACTCACACTGTATGTAGCAGAGATAAATACAGTCACAGACCCCTAAAAGATGACACATTAAGAATAGGTTGGCCTGAAATTCAAAGTTCCAAGTAAAAGACCCTATGTTAAAGCTACAGGGGACACATTTTTCAGACAAAAGGCTACAAAATATCTGTGACTGATTTTGAAAATCCGGAAGCCTAGGAAGTTTTGATAACAATGACTCCCCTTACACAACAATGGTGAACTAAAATATTAGAGATTCCCATGCCAACAAACGCTGAGCCACACATGCTGTAGTTTCACTGCTAAGACCAAACCCCGTTTAGCCCTCATATTAAATGTGGGATTTTAGGAAGCCAGCATGTGTTCTTATCTGAAAGAGCCCTAAAATCAAGGAATTAAACAGAAGCCCCCCCCCCCCGCCATGCCAAAAGAATTACAGAAAGGATACATAGCTATAGATTTTCTTAGTCTGCAGACATCATATTTATGAGTAAAGGCAATGTTGTCAAGTCAAAGGATTTCCTTTGAGTGGCACCGGTTAAAAAAGAAACAAATATTAGTTTCAGGGTTTCTCTTTCAATCCCTATGTCTACTTGAACCACCCAGTATTTTAGTATCTTTTAGGGTGATGTGCCACATTCCTAAAATAGTTGAAGACTCATTCCTAACTGGTTGCTCTCCCCAGTTTTCTGACTGGCTGCTTTCAAAAATAGAAAATTATTGCACTCTAGATAAACACTATAATATCAAGATTGAAATGACCTTCCCTCAAAATACTTTGACAGTAGCCACAGTCTGGATAAAAGTAATTATATATTTGCAAGTCTTCATATAAGCATCTAAATCACACACAAATGTAAATATATACTCATCTGCTTGTGTGTATATATATGTGCACACATGCATAGTTTTTATATTGTTTTATACAGATGGGTAGCTAAAAGCAAAGCATTAAGTGATCTCTCACAGGAAGCAGACAAGAAAAATTGGGTTTTAGAACCTGGAATTCAGACAGGCTGTAAAAAGATCACCTGTCCTAGTAAAAAGCAGAGAATTCTCCATTCACTCCTGTAAATAAATGACACCTAGACTTAGTCATGAATAAAGAAAAAGGACAACTTTTTGTTCCATGAAGAAAGGGTAAGACTAAAATACCATCAGTATTAAATGGATTTTTCTTCTTTATGGATTTTACATCTTAAACACATATGTCATGACATTTTAATGTAGCAGCTCTGAAATAGAGAAAAAGCACATTGATTTTGTGCCCCAAAGAAAAATAAACAATAGCACTTTCAAAAAAGGCTTTGACTTGAAAGTCCCTTGAGCCATATAAAGTACATTTATTCCCAAACTGAATGATGTTAGTAATGAGTTTACTGGCTTGACCACTCTTTCCATCTAAACATTCTGGTTTGATCCTACCAATGAAGTCATTATGATACCCACATTGTAATACAATGTGTTGATGAAAAATTACTACGAATTTAGATTGGCATAATACCAACAAATGCAGTATAAACTACATCAGTATTGATGGATAATGAAACTGAGCTCTTTCATGTATTTGCTATAAAATCCATGGTATTCTGATACTATTTTAATGAGGCTCAAAAACTTTTTAAATGGATATTCAAGTAACACATTCATTAAATTTTTCTTTTCTTTTCTAGGTTTGGCTTTGTTAGAGATAAACTCTCTCATGACTTTAGCAGACCTTAGTGGAAATGTTAAAAAGATTAAAAAAAAAATTCAAGTCTACCTTTGGTGTAGGTGAAACCTATTAAATAATTGAGTTACAAAGCTACAAAGAAATGATTTCACATCTCCTACTTTGAAATACCATTATCTGAAGATTCCTGCTGTTGATGCACGTTGGATCTGAAGTGTAATGGGCATAGAAAAAGTGAAATAATATTTGTATATTTTTAATATTAAAAACCCTCTACAATACCATACATATGTAAACTGGAATCTCATTAAAATATTCTTCTTAGGCTGCATAAGACTACTGTTGAGATGAAATGCCATTATACTGATATCCTTTTTATAATTTTATGTAAATCCTTCTCAATCTACTATCTACTGTAGGTAGCTATATTTGTAAGATGGAATGAACCATAAACTGACAACATATGCATGAATAAATTGCTTTGCTTAAGAAAAGCATTGATTCAACTTTCAGTTTGGTAATGGGAAATTCCCACCTATCACCAGAACAAAAAATGCAAATTAAGACTCCTTTATTCATTTACGTGTATATTTTGCTCAGTTTTTATTTTGACAATAGAAAATTCCCTTTTACCATCTGAAAACTTACCAAAGAAGACTTCTTCGTTCATTTCTATATCGTTCTCCTTGATCAGCTGAGGGTCTTAAGACATCTCTATGCACTACAGCCTCTTCACTACCTGGAAAGCACTGAGGAGTCTAGATGGTCAGTTTCCACAGGACACAAGAAGAGAAGAGCTGCACAGAAGGAAAGGAGCTCCACTCTAAGATGTGTAGAAGGTGTTTTCATTCTCCTACATCATCCTTCCAAATAATTTTTCAACTTAGAGTCTCAGTAGTTCTGTGAACAATGCTGTACAAGCGGGAAGCAAGTCAGAGGGGCTGACTGTACTGCAAATCCCTTTTCTGCTTTGGCTTCCGACCACTTATACTGAGTGTGTTCTCTAGGAACAACCATTTCAGAACAAACATTATGCCATGATGTGGGGCCACGGTGCCTTCCAAAGACACTATGTTTTTGTTCCATCTGGAAATTCTTATTATAGGATACTTCATGGTTTAATATCCAAGACAATGACAACTTGATTCAGCTATCATACAGCTATCCAAATTTATTTTTAATCCATGGTCGTTTTGCAAACAAACTAATTGGTTCAAATTTGTTAGTCTCACACCCCTACTGAGGTTCATTTTATAGTTTTGTCCCAAGTTACGAACATCTCAGAAATATCAGTACAAGGTTTGCATCAGTCCAGCTTATTTTTAGCACAATTGAATCTTCCCAGAGATCAAGTAATTTAATATAAATATTCTGTCTTTCAGATTGGAGACTAACTGAACTTTAGCATTTTTCAATAAAACACTTGTTTGCATTAATCAAATAGATGGATACTTCTTTTTTCTTCTGTGTTTAGACAGAAATATAAGAATGAGCTCAAATTAATTATATCTGTCAACAGTGTCAACATCACAAAATATTCAATTGGAACCAAACTAAGTTTCTCCACATAAAACTGAGGGTAAATGTGTGATAAATATTGTATAATACATGTAAGCATCATTCTGCTCCTCTGAGATGCCTACAGAAATGAAAATCCAGGGGAACATGAAGGAAGGAATGCAGGAAGGAAAGAAGGAGAAGAGGAAGGAAGGAAGGAAGGGAGGAAAGAAGGAAGAAAGAAGAGGGAGAGATGGAGGAAGGGAGGTTGAACCTGAAGAAAAGTAAGATATAGAAGCAGATATACAAAGATATAATGAGTTTTTAGAAGATGGAAACCATATGAAAAGAATGCAATTAATTATTAAAACATAAAAACTCCAAAGTCTAAAAAAGAGATAGTCAAAACCCCTGTAAGAGCAATGTTAACAAGCAGTTGTCAATTTATAAATCAGAAATTAAGAATGATTCCGGAACTGAAAGCATCAGATATTTCAAAATGTGGTGCTCACAGTCAAACTAAAATCAAGAACATTTTGACATAGTTTAAAGGTACAACCAGACCTCCTAGTTTTCTACCCAGCCTTAACCACAGAATTAGTTACTTTTCTCATGCTGAGACACAATACCTGACACTTGCAGGTTAAAGGAGAAAAGGTTTATTTTAACTCACAGTTTGCAGAGATTTCAGTCCATAGGGAGCTGGCTCTGAGGTAGTGCAGCATGACAGACGGGAAAAATACAGCAGCCAGCAGCCACCTTCTTTCTCTCCATTTGTACTTCATCCCGGATATACACCTATTGAACAGTGCCACCCAAACCCTGGGTGGGGCTTCCGTTATCCACACTCAGAACTGTGCTAAACTTATTTAGTTACCAAACACCTGCAATCCCAGTATCACACCACCTAGATCCTGCATCACACACATGATCCAGCCATTCCCCCAGTTCCTACTGATGAGCACATGAGGCTATGGGGGACATCTAGATACAAGCCATAACAACCACCCACAAGACTACACTTCAGTATACTCAGAGGAATTGAAAAATTTAAGCTCTGAACAAGATTGAGATACCACCAACAGTTGAGATCACATGATGACAACTTAATAGTGAGACAAAGAACTTTCACATGCAAAATTGTGATAATTCCTGTACACTCTAGGCCCCTGATGGCCAGTTTATGTTGAATAGGCATAAAAGAGAATATTCCTTGGAAAAAATCTAACTCAAAGAAAATATGCAGGTAGTGAAAATCAGGCACATACAGTCAAGTATACCTGATCCTGCTCTGTGGAAATTCAGCAGTAAACAAATTCTGCCCAAGTACCACTTTGTAATTTCTAGTGGTTCAAACTTAACAAGAAAAGACAGTCAAGAGTTATCAGGTACTTGAGAAAAGCTATCAGCATTAAACACTAAAAGCTCAAAAATTAAATAGAAAACATAAATTAATGGAAAGAAATAAGTACTGCAAGTATGATTCAGCTGCAATATATGTTTATGTAATATGCACAGAAACATAAAGACATAGCTTTATTTAAGAAAGGAATAGTTTACTGTTCTCCAG